CAGTGCCTAGAAGCAAGAACCATGCTCCTTCCCCGGGGTGGCCCCAGCAAAGCCCCACAGACTGCGTGGCCTAAACTGCAGAAATGTATCATCTCCTGGCCTGGAGCCCAGGGCCTAAGCTCAGGGTGTCGGCAGGGATGGCTCCTTCCGAGGCCGTGCAGGAGAACCCGTCCAGGCCTCCCCTCCAGCTCCTTGGTTCGCTGCCATCTTTGGGGTTCCTTGGCCTGTTGACGCCTCAGTCCTCTGCACCCTGTGGGGCTGGCCCAACTCGTCCCCTTCATAAGGACACCAGTCACATTGGATTAGGGTTCCGCCATCTGACCTCACCTTCTGAAACCCTCTTTCTAGACAAGGCCATGCTGAGGTACAGGGGTCAAAGCTCCTGGTACTCAGGGTGGGGGCCACAGGCTCTGGTCTGACCCCAGGCCCACCTCCAGTCTCCAACGTACAGACCTGGCTTGCTCCTCAAGCCTTCGTGTTATTTTATTTGGGGTTGTTTTCTGATGGGAATACGGGACAGGTGTTGAAGGTATGGACATACCTTTGCTGTTTATTGTCCCGGTGAAGCAAACACGGTGTGCTTGCTTCCTGCGGCTGTTTTCACACAGCAGCACCGACATGGCGCCAACAGCAGAGCTTTCTTCTCTCTGGCTCTGTGGCCACAATCTGAAGTCAGGACGTGGGCAAGGCCCCTGCTCCCCTGAGGGTTCTGGGGAGGGCCCTCCTGCCCCTCCCGCCCCAGGGCTGCTGGCAGTCCTCCGTGTTCCTGGGCTTGCGGGCACCTTGCTCCATCTTCACCTCTGTCGCTGCACAGCCGTCCGTCCCCTCCCCAGGCCTCTGCACCTGCACGTGACACCTCCTGGTGTCTCTGTCTTCTCATCTTAATAGGACACCAGTCCTATTGGACAGGGCCACGCTCACAACCTCAGCTCGATTACATTGGCAAAGACCCTATTTCCAAATAAGCCCTCATCCTTAGGTCCTAGGGGTTAGGACTTCAACACCTCTTTTTTGAGGAAACACAGCTCAGCCTGTAGTGATGGGGTAACTGGACTCACACCCGTCTAGGAGCCCCCCCAGATCCCCTGCCCTCAGCCTGGGAGAGCGTCTCTGCCAGGAGTCAGGTCTGAGTGCTTTGCTCAAGTTGTTAGCCAAGTCCGTCACAGGGTTAATAGCTTCATAGTCAGGGGTCCTCAGAAGTAATGGGTTCCTGTGGCACTGGACCTATTTCCAAAGAACCCCACGGCAGCTCCTACATGTTCCCATGGGAAGCCCGCACAGTCTACCCCTGCACACATCTTGCTCTTGGCTAACATTGTGTCTGTCAGTGTCATCACTGGTTATCACGTGGGAGCAGGACTCAGGACCCATACAGACAGCTGAGTCCATGCAGGCTGCTCCGTCCTGTGGCCCGCTGGATTTCACTCTTCCACGGCATGGCCTGTCCCTGGAAGCCCTTGGTGAACACCCCTCTCCCCACGAGTCTGGGGCAGTCCCTGCCGCCCCCAGCCAGTGGCTCCCGCAGCTTCCCGGTGCTGGCTCAATCCCGGCAATGACCACACTGCAGGCTCATCTGTCTCCACTCCTTCCCCAGAAGCTCGTTGATGACGTGGTTCTCCAGCCGACTGCTGCCCAGGTTGGTGCCTGCTGTAGGTAAGCACCGTGCCTCTGCCCGGGAGCCCGCACGCAGTGCTGGTGGGAACGTGGAATGGTGCAGCCACTTTGTAAAATAGCCTGGCAGGTCCTCAGAGGGTGAAACAGAATTCCTGTGTGTCATAGCCCATCTGGGCTGCTGTAACAAAAATGCCACAGCCTGGGTGGCTTATAAACAACAGACACTTTTCACTGACGCTTCTGGGGGCTGGAAGTTCTAGATGGAGATGTGGCAGATTTGCTGTCCTCCGAAGGCCCCTTCCTGGTTCATACTCGGTGCCTTCTCACTGGGTCCTCACACGGAAGAAGGGGCGAGGGAACTCTCTGGGCCTCTTTAATGGAGGCACAATTCCCATTCATGAGGCTTCACCCTCACGACCTCGTCACCTTCCAAGGCCTCGCCTCCTAATCCCATCACCTTGAGGGATGGGAGGACATAAATATTGGGTTCTTCCCACCGTGTGACCCGGCAATTCCACTCCTAGGGATATACCAAAGAGAAGTGAAAATATACGTCCACACAGAAACTTACATTGCGTGTTCCCAACAGCATTATTCATAAAAGCCACAATGTTGGCCCAACCCAATGCCCATCCACAGACGAACGGCTAAACGAAATGTGGCATGTCCCTGCAGTGGAATATTATTCAGCCGTGAGAAGGAATGAAGCTCTGACACGTACGACATGGCGGGTGAACCTTCTGCAACATGGAAAATTCAGACACACAAACCCACATCGCATGTGACCCCATGGATGTAAAGTGGCGGAACAGGTAAATCTGCAGAGACAGAAGGTGGATCGGGGGCTGCCTAGGGTGGGAGCGTGCGGCTGCCCGAGGGCCAGGCTTCCTTTGGGAGGATGAAAGGTTCCAGTGTGGATCGTGAAGGCTCACATCGCGGACACACTAAACACCATGGAATTGCACGTTGGATGGGTGAGTTCGTGGTGCATGACGTATATTTCAATAAAGCCATCATGAACATCAAACAGAAAGGCAGCCTCGTGTCCTGTGCACGGGTGAAGCCTAGTGTTTGCTGCATGGTGGATGGTGGCAACGCTGCCCAGGGCATTCCTGGAAACCCACCGTGGCCCTCAGGGTCACCTGGTCATGGGCACCACTGTGTGCTGGGCATCGGGCATGAGGGGGTGCTTGCCGGGGAGACTTTGTCCTCACCCTCCTTTAACACCTGGGGAGGGCTGGTCCCAAGGGGGAGGTCACAGGGCTGGTGACGTGGGGGCCAGAGCCCTGCCTCTATCTCATTGTGCACAGGAGGAAGGACCCGAGACCCCCCCTCAGGCTGCACCCCAGAGCCTGTGACGCCTGGGCCACGGGCTCCGTACCTTTGGGGCTGACTGCCTCCTGTGCCCCCACCCCCAGCTGCAGCTGCCCCTCCTTCTCAGGATCCTCTCTCCTTCCTGTACCCTTGGCCCTGCAGCCTGGCCCGTCCCCTGGGGTGCCCCCTCCCTCTGGCCTGGAGGTAGGGCCCCCCAACTCCAATTCCATCTCCACGCAGCCCGGTTCCTTGATCCCTACTTAGGGCAACCTCAGCTGCCTGTTCCCGGGGCAGAGCCTTGACTTCCTCCTCATCCAGAATAGAGCATGCACTGCCCCCTCACCCTCAGGACCCCCACTCCAGCTCGCTCCGTCCACCAGGGGCTTAGCGTCCCACGTCCTCTGCTCTTCCCGGGATGTCCTCATGCTCTTTCCCAACTTAGAGTCCATCAGCACCCCACTCAAATCCAGCCTCAGCCCACTTAAATCCAGCACCCCAGTCCTGCCTCGGTGGCCGCCGGGTGTGACAGGTGGCAGGTCACCCAGCAGCACCCTGGCACCTGGCCCCTTAGTCACACCTCTGCCCTTGCTCTAGTGGGTGCCAGCTCTGGCTGGACAGCCCCACTCCACTCACCCTCCTGACAGCACCGACCCCTCTTCCACTTCACTCCCTGAAGCTCCCCCGTTTTCGCAGGCTCACCTGGCCACCCCCACACGGCACCCACTGCCTCCGCATAGCGTCTCTGGCCTCTGCAGCACCATGGCTGCCGGGCCCCGGGCTGTCCCCTGCTCCTGTCACTGGCCCTGGGCTCCTTCTCCAACTGCTGCTCCCCAGGGTGCTCCGGCACCTGCTGGTGGCTTTCACTACCAGCTGCTGGTGTCCTCGTCCACCAAGCCCTCACCCTGAGCCCCCTCCTGGGCGTGTCCCCTGGATACCTCTGTCCACCTGACGCCCACAGCACCAGCCTCCAGTCCCCCAGCAGCGTCCTCAGCTCACCATTGACTGTTCCTTCTCTCGTTCTCCACATCCAAGCTGTCTGCCACTCTTATTAATTGATTGGTTGATTGACACAGCGTCTCCCTCTGTTCCCCAGGCTGGGCTGCAGTGGTGCAATCAACAGCTCCCTGCAATCTTGATCTCCCAGTCTCAAGCGATCCTCCCGCCTTGCCCTACCAAGATTCTGGGATTACAGGTGCACACCACTATGCACGGCCCACTCCTTCAACTCGAACAACAAAAAGCAGCAGCCCCTCCAGCAGCCGCCTGCCTTCCTCCTCACAAGTATCCCGTCCTTCCTGCTCACTCACCTCCCCACAGCCGTTTCCAGCACAGCAGAGTGATGCTGTGAAAGTGATTCCATTTCTCTGCACAAAATCTGCCAGTAACTCCCTGCTTTGCTCAGAATAAAGGCCACCATCCTCACTATGACCCACGTGGTTCCATGCCCTGCCCTCCTGCGGCATCCGGGCTCCTTGTGTCTCTCAAGTCGCCACACCAGCCTCCACCCAGGACCTCTTCGTGCTCCCTCGTCAACCCCAGACACACCTTCCTCCCTGGAGGCTGCCTGCCCACACCGTGGCAAGGGGCAACCCCTGCCCTGATGCACCTGGCCCATGGCCCGGGTCTGGTCTGAGGCAGCTACGTCGCTCTGTCCCCTCCCCAGGAGGAAAGGGATTTGGTTTTGTTCCCTGCTGCACCCAGTGCTGGCTGGCAGAGAGGGGTGTCCCAGGAAGGACCAGGACACAAAGGAAGGGAGGATCAGGACTCAAGCGCCTGTACCCACAAACTTGGTGGGCCAGGGGCGGGGGTGTCCGGCAGGGAAGGTGGGACTCAGCCCGTGCTGTCCCTAGCAGCGTCTTGCTCCTGGAACTCCCTCCCTACATCTGTTCATCCGAGTGGCCTTGGTCCTGGATGCAGCCAGTGTTCAGGTGGACACTGCATGGCTCCGAGGGCCTGTGTGACGCCCACGTGACCTCACGGGGCTGTGTGATGTCAGCGCGGGCGGGGTGGGGTGTGCCCAGTCTGGTCCCACAGCTCACAGTGAGCGGCAGTCGGTTGTTTAACCTAAAAGGTGTTTCCCACGTGGAGTGGGACTGAGAGGCCCGGGTGGCTGCAGGGACTCGCCTGGGACGCGGGGCGCAGGTGAGTCGACGAACGCCCCCTCCTGGTGCGAGCCGCCCGCGCCCCGGACGTCCCGGACCCCGCCCGTCCCGCGGACCGCCCCGTGCCCCGGGTGTGCTCGGCCCCGTCTGACCGCCCCGTGCGCCGGGTGTGCTCCGCCCCGTCTGACCGCCCCGTGCGCCGGGTGTGCTCGGCCCCGTCACCTGCCCGTGGCCGCGGCAATGAAATACGTGCCGGAAGTGAAGAAGTCGCCGCCGCACCTCCTGAAGCAATTCACAGGTGAGGAGGGAAGGCGCACGGTGCGGGCGGCGCGGGGAGGAGCCGTTTCAGCCCCTGGCGCGGACGGGGGGTCCCGGTCCCAGGCCTGGTTAGGAGGGAAAGGCAGAAAAATGCGTGTTCAGAAAATAACCTGAGGAAAGGCCGTGAAGTCTTCATTTTTGAAAATTGTATTACAAAATACACCTGAATCGGAGGTTTTCTAGCTGAAGAAGCGCATTGAACTATTTCCAGGGGGTTCACGGGTCAAAGGCATTCCGTCCATGAGGTGCTGAAGATCCACGTCAACTAACTTGGTAACTTTTATTGTAGGAGTGACTTTTTTATTAAGGAAAAATATTTATCAGCAATGAAGAAGCTCCCCCTTCCCTTTCCCCACCCAGGAGACTGACCCAAAGGCAGACACTCACCACTGGGGCTGGAAGGAACCACCAGTGTGGGATGTGACTTATCCCACATGTGCTGTTAGTGTGCATAGATTGGGGGGGATGGTGACAGTGACTTACAGTCAGGAAGAGGAAGATTCTGGAAGTTCGAGCCTCCCCAAGAGAGGTGGGAGATGCCACCTTCTGTGGCTCAGGTTTACCTGCAACTTGAACGTTTTTTTCTCAATTGAGCTTGTATTCATGAGATGCTTTTATTATAATAATAATTTTTAAAAAAGAAAAAAAAAAGAAAATTGATCGGGTGTGGTGGCCTGTAGTCCCAGCACTTTGATAAGCCAAGGCGGGTGGATCACCTGAGGTCAGGAGTTCCAGACCAGCCTGGCCAGCGTGGTGAAACCCTGTCTCTACTAAAAATACAAAAATTAGCCAGGCATGGTGGCGGGTGCCTGTAGTCCCAGCTACTCGGAAGGCTAAGGCAGCAGAATCACTTGAACCTGGGAGGCAGAGGTTGCAGTGAGCTGAGATTGTGCCACCGCACTCCAGCCTGGGCAACAAAGCGAGACTCCGTCTCAAAAACAAACCAAGAAAATGGAAGAAAAAGAAAACAAAGTAGCTTATTTGGGATTATTACCTCTGCTGGGAGGGTAGGCTAGGGAGCGCCTCTCAGGCTGGCCAAGATGCTGGCAGCCGCTGAGCACCTGCCCACAGGAGCACCCGGCCCTGCAGCTCTCGGAGGGAGAGGGCAGCCCAGGTGCCAGGAATGTGTGGCATCTGCCAGCCTGTGAGGCTTTCCAAGGCCACCCAGCCACCAGGCTTTGTCACACTCGGGGGGCAGCTGCCTCTTTGGACAGGAAGAGGGGTGTCCACAAGAGGGGTCTTTGCAGTTCCTGATCCAGATGCTCCCAGGGCAGAGTGGGAGGCCTGCGCCTGGGGCCCCCGAGGGAGCGGATGTTCTTGTGGCCGGCTGGGGTGGCCCCTCTCATCTTCTGGCAAGATGGCCCCGTAGGCAGGGCAAGCACGGGGAGAAAGCAGTCCCTCTTTCAGGCCCTTGGGGTCACCCTCCTGGTCTCTGCTTCAGGGCTGCAAGCATTGCAGCTGTTGTGGGTACAAGCTGCTGCTCCTGGGCCTGGCTACCCCATCTCTGAGGGGCTGCCAGGGGCTGCTGGAGGCTGACGCCCCTTCTCAGGGAGCATGGGGCTGGTGGGGGTCATCTCAGGTGTGCCAGGTCACCCAAGGCACAGCCCAAGGTGACCCTGGGCTGGAGTCCTCTCACCTTGCCATGGCCATGCCCAGGCCCCCGCATCTGGCATCTGCATGTGACACTCCTGTGTGCTCCCCACACAGCCTGTCCTCGTGACTGAAGGACGCATGCAGGGTTAATAAAAGGATGCATGCAGGTTAATGCAGGATGATAAGCGTGTCCTTATCATCCTTTGCAGACTGTGGCGTGGCTGTTTTGTGACTGTTTCTGTTCCTTTAGGGGTGTAGGGAAGCTGTGAAATGACAAGGCCGGCGTTGTCCTGGCCTGGAGCTGGCTCAGATGTCTGCGCCACTGGTGGCCTCAGCGGGCAAGTGGGGAGCTGGAACCTTTAGCTACAGTGGCCGGCCATGGCCCTGCTGCTCAGGCCCTCTCTGCCGCCCACCCCTGGGTCTGAACCCAAGAAGCAGCCCAGAGGAATTCCTCCTGTCCTTCTCTGCACAACTTTGCAGATGTGGAAGAGGCTGTGTGGTCGGGTGCGGTGCAGACTCTGGCCTCCAAGCCCACCCGCTCCACAGCCTCTCCCCATGTGGCTGCAGAGCCCTGCATGCCTCCCCTTCCCTGCAGCCCTGCTGGGCTTCCCCATGTCCACACTCGCTCATCCTGGACAGGAGGCAGCTAGGCCTCCAGACAGCCCCATAGCAGGTGAGGGCCTGAGGCTGGCTCCCGGGGCACCATGTTCATGGCCCTGGACAGCGGGCGACCTGGGGGTGAAGGAGTGGAAATGAGGATGGGAGGATGACACGCGGTCCCTGGGGAAGAGGTGTGTGCGGGACCGCTCATCCCTGGCCGGAGGCTCTGCCTTACTGGGGTGATGCAGCCTCACCTGCTGTCAACTGCTGCCTAAAGGTTAATGTCATCTCCCTCCCTAAATAGTTTCCGCGAAAGCACTTTTAAGCTGTGATACACTTTCTACACCGCTGTGTGTTCTTCTCTGAATGACTTTTATGAAAGAGCGGGGACTCGAAGCCACTGGCTTCTCCTCAGGAGTCTGTGGACATATCCGTGGCCCTGCATGCCCCAGATCCCCATCCATGGTTCACACGCGCTCCAGACAGGAACCGCTACACACATGAGCCTCTGCACACACCACGTCAGCTCCCTGAACCTGCTGTGATCCCTGCCCAGCTTCCTCCTCCTCCTTCTCCTCCTCCTCACCTCTCCTTCCGTGTTCTGATGCTCAAACTCCGGGAGAACTGGCGTCTTCTGTCCTAAGATAACTTGATACGCAGCTTCAAGCTCGGTGTCAAGAAAATGGGTCTCCAGTTTCAGAGATTTTTACGTTGTTTATGACATCTGCTGTGGAGACACATGCAGCCAGATTCCGGGTGGTGTCACAGCTCGCAGACAGAAAGGGGTGTGCAGGCCGGGCCTGCTGAAGGTCCTGGGTGCTGGTGGCAGTCGTGACCGCATGCGTGTCTCTGGAGTTCCCACGCCACATTTCCTGTCACCACTGTACTCAGAATCTTGTGTTTTCTTCCCGCCTGGACTGTCTTTGGAAACCTGTCTGTGGTCGGGTCTTGCTGTCCGTGGCCACGCTGCCAGGAACCCGGAGCTGGGACATTCTACTGGGTCACCGGGCAGTGTGGCTTGGAGGTGTTCCCTGGAGGCCAGCCCGATGCCTGCCTTTCTAGGGGAGCAGCTCCCAGCAGGGAGGCTGAGCCTCAGGAGTGCTGGAAGCCTCCATGGTGCCATGAGGGCATGGCTGCTGAGTCTGCCGGCTGCTTCTCCAGGAGGCAACCATGGTCTGTCCCCTGCTAACCGACTGCCTCTTCGGGAAACCAGGTGGCAGAGGGACTCCGATGGGGAGTTAGATCGAGGACTTGGCGCTGCCCTGAGAGTCTCTGGACTTGGCTCCTTCCCTAGGAAGAATTCCTGCAAGTGTGCATTTCACAGAGAGAGGGGAAGGGAGGTGGATGGAGCACAAGAAGTAGAAACGCCACGGAATTGTCAGCCACATTTAAAATGGTGACGCCTCCCTGCCTGGATCATCAGCCACATTTAAAATGGTGACGCCTCCCTGCCTGGATCATCAGCCACATTACAAATGGCGACGCCTCGCAGCCTGGATCATCAGTCATGTTAAAAATGATGATGCCTCGCTGCCTGGATCATCAGTCATGTTAAAAATAATGACGCCTCGCTGCCTGGGTTGGCAAGCCTTGGCCTCAGATCTGCACCTCTCTGGGCACCATGCCCCTCCTGAACCTTCCTCTCCTGCTGCAGAAGCAGCAAAATGCGGAGTGAAAAGACTTACCATAGCCTTAGAGAAACAACAGAACATTGACCGCTGCGCGGGCGTGGGCGTGTTAGAAGCCCCAGGTGGTGGCCGGTGGGAAGTGGGATGAGCGAGGGAGTGAATGGCAGCCCCACTGTCCCTGGGGAGCAGTGACTTTCCTGGGCTTGCTCTCCATGCAGATGGGGTGACGGGACAGACTCGTGGGACGAGCTTTGAAACTTCACTCCACGGGCCCCCATCTCACCTGGCCCCCCTGAGCCGGGATGGCTTCTCCCAGGAAGCCCTCTGCTCACTTTAGATTGATTGATTTAACCCCAGTCTCATTTCAGTAGATCAGGAGGAACGCGGTTGCCCTGCCATCCTGAGGCAGCGCCTCCCGGTCCCCACAGCCCGGCCCAGCCGATGGCTCCTTTCCTCCTTCCCAGCCGCGCCGTCATGACTCTGGGAGAGCACAGGGAGACAGCCAGGCAGTGAGCCCCCGGCTCAAGTTGCCCTGGCTATGGCGCGGGGGGGGCGTGGAGGGCCTGCTGGAGACACCACTGCTGGTGCCAGTGGCTGGGCGTCCAGTACCTGTGCAGTGGGCGAGCTGCCAGTGATGTTTCTAGAGGGAGCAGGGAGCTGCATCAGCCCTGCCGACCCCCCACCGCATGGAGAGCTCACCTCGGCCCCTTTGGCAGCTGTGTCAGCCCTGCCGACCCCCCAACATGTGGAAAGCGCACCTTGGTCCCCTTGGTGGCTGCGACCTGGTCCCTGCCCAAAAAGCCTCAGCTCACTCCAACCTCAAAGCCTGTTACGGGTTGTGGAGGAGGGTGGAGGGCCAGGCTAGGAACGGAAATGTGTGAGAGACTTTTCAGGGGCTAGTGGATTTTAAAAATGCATGGTGACGTCGTGGAGGTGCATGTGGGAAAATAACGGTGGGTGTGGAGGGAAAACGGGACGCGGGGAGGAGGCGGGGAGGACTGACCGGATTTGACAGCTGGGCGGTCAGATGCGATGGGGACTGAATTTTTAAAATGAGAAATAACGTATGAACGTTTGTGGAGTGATATTGAAGAAAACAAATCACTTTATGAATAAAAATAATGCCTCGTTCAGTGGCATATTTCCTGCCCAGGCTGTTTGCTGAAATTAAACATCCGCTGTCACCGCAAGTCTTTAGAAACCTTTGTTCTCTTGGCTTTGTGAGCAGACGTCCCTGTGCTGCTGGGGCTGCTTCTCCCACGTCTGGGGACGGTGGGGAGGGTGCTGGGCACCGTGGTGAGAGCAGGACCCTGAAGCCAGAGGTCACTGTGGATCCCGGCTCCGCTGCGTCCAAGCTCGTGGGATCTTGGGTTTCATCTGGATCTTCCCAGATGGGGTGTAAGGGCCTTCGGGCATCACGAGCTGGGCACTGGCTGGTGTCTGATGGGGTGGAAGAGCCTGCAGTATCCTGAACCGGGTGCTGGCGGGTGTTTGGGGTGGAGGAGACTGTGGGCGACGTGAGCCTGGCGCTGGCGGGTGTCTGGTGGGGTGGAGGAGACTGTGGGCAGCGCGAGCCTGGCGCTGGCGGGTGTCTGGTGGCGTGGAGGAGACTGTGGGCAGCGCGAGCCTGGCGCTGGCGGGTGTCTGGTGGCGTGGAGGAGACTGTGGGCAGCGCGAGCCTGGCGCTGGCGGGTGTCTGGTGGCGTGGAGGAGACTGTGGGCAGCGCGAGCCTGGCACTGGCGGGTGTTTGCTGTGCCGTTGCTGTCATCATCCGCGTCACAAAGCGGAGGCAGTGGTGGACTCTGAATTCTCCGGGAGCTGCCGGTGGGTGGTGTCTGTGAGGTTCTGGCACTGTGTCCATCCTGGAATCGCACCGCAGGAAAAAGGCAGTGGCACCTGGACGCCCTGGGAGCAAAGCCCTCCTAGTCACCTGCTGTAGACACATGGGCTGCTGCAGAGAGCGTGGGAGACCATCTGTCCAGCCACAGCCCGAGACCAGTCACCCATCGCAGGCCCCTCTGAGCCTGGCTCTGTAGGACCTGCCTGCTGCTGTGGGGCCTCTCCCGGCCTCCCCCGACTGCTCCCCACGTGGGAGGTCAGCGCAAACCACACACAGCCGCCCCATGCAACTGAGGGAGGAGAGGGTGGCAGCAGCCGGTGACTTTGGCCTGCCCTGTGCACTCTACCTTGGCAGGTGGGGCATCGCCTCGGCAGGGCTCCCGTGTCCAGGACGCTTCTGACAGAGGGCGAGGGCTGCAGCCGCGGCTTTTGCAAACCTGGAATGGGGGTGTCTTGGGAAGGAGAACCTGAAAGACTAAATCAACCCCAAGGAGCACAAATGAGGTTCCTCAAGGGTCAGGAAGGCCGGGCAGCTCCCCTCTCGGCCCCTGTCCTGGAGGAACAATTTACAGAGGTGCCGGGGAAGGCCTCCAGTGGCTTGGGTGCAGCCTTGGCCTGGGGCACGGAGCCCGGCTTTGTGGTACTGCAGTCCACCCAGCAAAGGTCTCTGTGGGCACTCTGGGCCCTCACCTGCAGGAACCCCCTTCATCATCCAGCCCAGTCCCTCAGTGGCCCACAGCCGATGAAGGGAGCCGCATCCCTCGGGGCTGAACATGTGTGAGGCTGCTGAACTCTGCTGGAAAGGGTCGTCTGCCAGGAGCGGTCCCCGCCCTGCTTCCTTTGCCTCCCAGGGCGCACCACACACTCATTGTCTCCCCTTTGGGTCAAAACCGGCATTAAACTTTCTGTCCTTTTGATTCAAGTTTTAAAATTCTGAAATAATCCTCAGCCCATGCTGCTAATTCTAACTCCCGTACGCTTAAGTGTGAAATAATTACACGTTCCCTCCCGAACTCCCAAGTACCCATTGTGTGAGCCCCGCGCCTTCTGTGGGCTCTGTCGTGCGCCGTGCCTGGCGCTGCTGCACGGAAACGTATTATCTCCTAATCGTTAGAGGGCCCTGCATTATTCTGTGTAATTAACTTGACATTATTTTGCTCAGAAATTTAATTCATTCTGGATCTTAGTTTCAAATAAAGATTTGCATGATGCATAATTTAGAAAAAAACAAAACCACAACACAAACCCACAGCTGCTCCCCACACCGCTTTCCAGGTTCTTTAGCGGAGAGCGGGGTTGCTTTGTCTTCGGGGGTGACACATGTGTGTGTCTGTGCTTTTGCAGTGTGTGACATTCCTCTGCATGACATTTGTGACTACAACGTCTCCAGGGACCGATGCAAGGAGCTCGGGTGCTGCTTCTACAAAGGCGTCTGCTACGAGAAAGCAGTTCCCAGTGAGTAGGCATCCTGGCCACCCCACGGGGGAAGCTGAGGGAGCTGGTGACCATGCTGACCGCCGCCATGCCTGTCTCCCTTCCCCGGGGTCTCTGTTTGCTGGAAACACCTTTGTATTGTTCTCTGGCCACACTCTTCTGCTCCGTCTTAGTGGGGGCAGTAGACTCTGAGTGGGGTCTGAGCTGGAGGGCCTGTGAATGTGAAGTAAGCCACCAGAGGAGTTCCATTCCCAGATGGGCTGGGCAGGGCATGAACGGGGACGGATGCAGACCCCCTTCGTGGAGGAATTTGGCCATTCTGGGTGGTTGCAGAGGCTGGATTTGAGGAAACAGTGCTGCAGAAACATGTGGTGGTGGCAGGGCCCGAGCCAGTGGCGAGGTGTGGGGTGAGCCCGTCAGGGTGGAGTGGACCTTGTCCACCATGGGCTCTGTGAGGACAGCAGAGACGCTTGGCCCTGACTGGGGACTCCGTGGGTGGCTTCAACGTTGGACTAGAAGCCAGACCACACATGAAGATCTGCTGGTAGCCCCTCAAGCCCCTCAAGCAGCACGGGGGTGAAGTGAGGACAACAGACACCCAGTGTGTGGGGTGTGGGGGCTGGAGGCGCTGCCACTCCCCATCCCCATGAAGGCTTCCGGAGGGAGGCGCGCCCTTCAGAGGACCGTGGCTAGTTGTAAAATGTGTTCGAAGGGAGGTGGGAGGAAGTTAAGAAACCAGAATGGCGTGCGCATGAAGGGCATTGGGCCCCACCTCCTCGGCATATTCTCGCCTGTGGGCACGCTGGCCTTCTGCGCTGCTGAGGTCTTCTCATGTCCAAACTCTCATCAAGGCCCACGGGAAGCTTCATGTTTCCTTCCTTGTCCTGTGGAGGCCCCTCTTGGAAATGAGGGTAAAGGGGCTCTTTGTGCTGCGTGGGGAGGGGCGGACAGCAGCATAGAGGGGATCGGCCTGCACAGTGTGCTCTTGGGAGGGAACAGTGCAGCCCTTGACGATGGAGATGCTGGATGTGGCCGATGATCTCTCACGGCTTTAGGCTTCCTTGGAGATGAGTTCCAAACCCTCCCTGTCCTAGGCCACTCTTTTCTCCACCCCCAGCACCCCAAAGTGAGTAAAGGCCCCTGGCTTTGTGCAGCTCAGGGCCATTTCTTCTTCCTTTTACTTCTTTCTCCTGCATTTCCCACTAGACTGAGCCCTCAGAGACCAGGCACCAGGTCCTCTTCATTCCCTGTACCTAGTAGGGCTTAGAAAGTCAGGAAACGTTAGTGACTGATGGGAATGAGTGACTGATGGAAATTTCTGAGTAGTGCCCTGCTGATGGAACCAAGCGTGAGCTCAGCTGCTCACCGCTTGCAAAACCCATAACAAATGAAGGGAGAGTGACTTTATTTCCAAAGCTAGCAGTGGGGAAGTGGCTGACTTGCGCTTCCAACTTTAGGCTCGGGAGAGGGGCTTAAAAAGAGGAACTCAGAATGGGAGGCACGTGGAGGGGTGCTACTCAAGATCTGAGGGTCTCGTTCCGGTGGCTGTCTCAAGCTGTGGCCCACCTGGAGCGTGGGGTGGCGTCATCTTGATGGATGGTTGTAGATTCACCACCTTCAGGGGATCTCTGGCATTTTGCAGCTGGGTCTCTACGCTTGGTCTATCTCAAGATGAGCCCCTAGAACTTGTAAGTAAGCCCATAATTAAATACCAGCACATAGTTAGATAGAATGTGCATGGGGCTAGGGGGTGCGTGGTGAGAAAGGGAGACCGTGGTATTGAAAAGAAAGTACATTTCAAGGCTGTATTTTAAGACTAAGGAGAACAAAAGTTTTCCGCAGTAAGCTTTCTGCATTGTGATACTAGGGGAACAAGAGAAAAAGGAAAAAAAGTTTTAAAATTCATTTTCAGGCTAGACCGTTTGATTACATGGGGACTGCCCAGTCCCACAGACATAAAGCTTTAAGCCAGCTCTTCTGAGATGAAAGGGATATTCTGGGCACAAAATCAGTCAAGAAAGAAAGTGCTGATGGGATTCTGGCTTGCTCCAGGGAGGATGTCTGTCCTGCTTCGTAGTGAAGATTTGGCACCTCATCAAAACAAGATGAATTTTGGCTCCTCAGAGGCAAACGAGAGGTCACAATGGATACCACTGATAGTTGGGAAGGTTTTCTGAGGACGACGGCTCCTGCAGATCTTGGCTTTAGAGACTCAGGACCAGACCCCTTGCTGTCCCAGCCTCCACTTCCAGGAGCCTCTGGGATTCCCGGGATCCCACACCTTCCTCTGACTCCAGATGAAATCAGTTGGAAATTGCTTCATTTATTATTTTTACTAAGATACTATACCATAAAATTCACCTTTTAAAGTATACAATTCAGTGGCTTTTAGTATACTCACAGTGGTGCGGTCATCGCCATTAACTCCAGAACATTTGCACCATGTCAGAAAGAAACCTCATGCCCATCAGCAGTCACGTCCCATCCTTCCCTCTCTCTGGCCCCTGGCAGCTACTCATCTCTCTATGGACGTCCGTATTATGGACATTTCATATAAATGGAACCACATGACTTGTTCTTTCACTTACATAGTTCTCAAGGTTCGTTCATGTTTTAGCAGCTATCAGTACTTCATTTCTCTTTATCGTTGAGTAATTGTCCACTGTATGGATGTGCCACATTTTGTTGACTCATCTATCAATTTATAGACATTTGGATTGTTTCCACTTTTTGGCTATTATAAATGATGCTGCTCTGAACATTTGTATATAGGTTTTTGTGCAAACATGATTTTTATTTTCTTGGGTATATTTCTAGGAGTGGAATTGCTGGATCATATATTAACTCTATGCTTAAATTTTTAAGGAACTTCCCAACTGTTTTGCAAGGTGGCTAGACCATTTTCCAGGCCAATTAGTAGCATATGAGAGTTCCAGTTTCTCCACATTCTCACCAACACTTGTTGTTGTCCTTTTGTTTATAGCCATTGTAATGGATGTGAAGTTGTATCTCATTGTGGTTTTGATTCGTATTATTCTAATGAATAATGATGTTCACCATCATTGCATTTTTTTTGGGGGGGGCTATTTGGATATCTTCTCTGGAAGAAAAGTCTATTCAAGTCCTTTGTCCGGTTTTAAATTGGGTTGTCTTTTTATTATGGAGTTGTATGAGCTCTTTATGTATTCTGGATATTAAACTCTTATTAGAAATATGACTTGCAAATACTTTCTATTATTCTCTTATGTCTTTTATTTTTATTGAGTTTCTGTCCATTTTCTCCATTTTTCCTTTTGTTGCTTGTGCTTTGGTGTCACATCTAAGAAACCATTGCCTAATCCAAGGCTGCAAAGATTTATACCTGTAATATCTTCTAGGAGTTTTATACTTATAACTCTTATATTTTGGTCTTTCGATCCTTTTTGAGTTAACTTTTGTATCTGGTGCAAAGAAGGTTTCCAACTTCATTATTTTGCATATGGATATTCAGTTGTCCCAGCATCATTTGTTGAGAAGATTCTTTTTTTCCCATTAAATTGACACCGTTGTTGAGAATCAGTTGCCCATAAAAGTGAGTTTACTTCTAGATTCTCAATTCTATTCTGTTCATCTATATGTCTATCCTTAGCCAGTACCAGTTTTGATTACTGTAGCTTTGCAGTAAATTTTGAAATCAGAATTTGTGAGTGCTTCAACTTTGTTCTTCTTTTTCAAGATTATTTTGGTGATTATGGGTCCCTTGTATTTCCATACCGAATTTAGCTCATCAGTTTCTGCAGAAAAGAGGTCCTTTGGCAGTTTGATTGGGGTTGTGTTGACTCTGTATGTAATTTGGGAAGTATTACCATCTGAACATGATATTAAGTGTTCTGGTCCATGAACAGGAGTAGTCTATTTATTTCAGTCTTTAATTTTTTTCAATATTTTATACTTTTCAGGGTACTGATCTTGAGCTTCTTTAAATTTATTCCAAAGTATTTTATTCTTTTTAATGTTATTATAAATTGAATTGTTTTCTTCATTTTAAGATTGTCTATTGCCAGCATATAGAAATGTAATTGATTTTTGTATGCTGATTTTGTATATGGCAACCTTGTTGAACTTGCTTACTCTATTAGTTTTCTGGTTGATTCCTTAGGATTTTTTGCATACAAGATCATGGCATCTGAAAATATAGTTTTACTTCTTTTTTCCTAATCTGAATGCCTTTTAGTTCATTTTCTTGCCTAGTTTCTGACTAAAACCTCCAGTACAATGATCAATAGAATTAGGAATGGCAGAAGCTTTGTCTTTTTCCTGATCTTAAGGAGAAACTTTCAATGTTTCACCATTAAATACAGTGGTGACTGTGGGTTTTACTAGATGCCATGTATCTATTAATAGTAAATGCAAGAAACAACTTGGAAACACACAAGTTGAGAAAGCTTCCTCTTCTTCCTGCTTTGTTGAGTGTTTTTATCATGAAAGGGTGTTGGATTTTTTTTTCAAATTCTTTTTCTGCATCTATTGAGCACCTTAATGGTGACTTTTATTACTTCATGTGAATTTGATTTACTGTCTACTCTTCTTTCATTTCATCCTAAAGGACTCCCTTTGGTATTTCTTATAAAGAAGTTTTGCCAGTGATGAATATCCTGACTTTGTTTATCTGGAAGGTCTTAATTTACCCTTCATTTTTGAAGCATAGAGTTGCTGTATATAAAATTGCTGGTTGATAGGCTTCCTGACAGCCCTTTGAATGTTTTTTCTCATTGCCTTCTGGCCTGCATGGTTTCTGATGAGAAACTGCTATAAATTTTAAGGCTCCTTTGTATGTAATGTGTCACTTCTCTCATGCTGTTTTCAAGATTCTTTGTCTTTTGCAGTTTGCCAGGTGTCTGGGTATGGATCTCTCTGAGTTTATCCTACTCAGAGTTCACTGAGCTTCTTGGATGTGTAGATTAATGTTAACCAAACTTAAGAAGTTTTTACCATTATTTCTTCAAATATTCTTTCTGTTCTTTTATCTTTCTTCTCTGCCT